AGGAGGAAGGTGCCTATCCCAAGGAGGTGGGGAAATGTATACAAAAGTAATTATTGTTAATCAAAAAATTTGCAGGAACCTCCCAGACTGGACTCAGATCAGCCAACGGACAAGGAACAAAAAGATGCAGAGATCTCTCTGGCTTCCTGGAAGCCCGGCTAGCCCCAGATGTCTGTGGTCATCAACCACCTCTTGCCCCTCCCATTTCCCCTTTCTTGACTTGAAAGAAGCCTGAACTCTGTGATGGCTTAACACGGATTTGAGAAACTGTGAGCGCCCCCATCTTCTCGATTTTGCACCTTTTCAATCAATAAACCCTCCCTTACTCCAAACTCTGACATTTTCAGTTTTGGCCTTTTGAAGCATGAGGCACATGGACTTTTACATCGGTGAGGGTACTAGGACAGGAAGTAAATAACTCAAAGAGGATGCTCGGCCTCGTGGGGCTTACCTGGTCATGGCAGAGAATATAAAGGGAGCAGAGGAAAGGCAGTTTGAAAGAACAGGTTTTTAAATTTTTCTTAATTTCTTTTTACGATTGCACAGCTTTAATGAAAAACAGATAAACAAAAGTGGAGAATAAAAATTACTCGCAATCTCACAACTCAGAAATAACTACTGTGAATATTTTGGAGTACATCCTCACTATCTTTCATTCTATCTGTTGTATATAAATCCTTCATTAGAAACACACAGGTTTTATAAGATGTATTGCAAATAGTTTTTTAACTTCTTTTCTCACTTGAAATTCATGAAAAAAAAATACTGTATGTCATTACCATTTCAATTACTGTACGGAATTCCCTTACTTGGATGTACTAGAATTCATTCAGCAATCTGTATTTGAGGTATTTAAGGGTTTTTGTTATCAGTTTTATTGAGGTATTATACAAAAACAAAAAAACAAAAACCTGCATGGCTGGTGTGTACAGTTTGATGAGTCTGGACCAATGCAAACCTCCATGACATCATTGCCACAATCAAGGTAATAGACATATACAATCAACACCTCCTAAACTTTCCTGGGGTCCCTGTGTTTTTTTCTTTTTTTCTATTAAAATTAACACTGTTAAAATAACACCTTAGAGAGGCTTTCTCTGATGCGTCTAATTAAAATAGCTCCCACTCCCCATAATTGTTCCCTGTTCTGTTTTTCTTCAGTGAACTCACAATTTTAGAAGTATTACATGTGTGGTTGAGTTTATCGAAGCCCAACACAACCACTGACTTCGTCTTCTTCCTTGGAGTCCCTCCAAGGCCAAGAACTGTGCCTGGCATAGAACAGATGTCTGAGATATTGTGGTTTATAATAAAAAATATATATACATTTGGTCTTCATCCCAGTTCCTGGCACAGAGCTCCTAAAACCCTTGGAATTTGTTGTGATGAGATCAGTAAAGGTGCCTTTTGTTATGTTAATGGGTGACTTTGTGAAAATACCTCAGGATGGGGGTCTGTTTCCAGGGGAGCCCACCAAGGGCTCGAGGGCTGGTGGTTTTTGGTCCCTTGACCACCCCACTACCTCTGGGGAGAGGAGAGAGGCTGGAGGTTGAATCAGTCCCCGATGGCCAACGATTTACTCCATCAAGCCTACATAATAAAACCTCCATAAAAACCAGAACCAACCAAACAAACGAACAGGGACTGGAGAGCATCTGAGTTGACGAACACATGGAGGTGTGGGGACAGTGGTCCTCTCAGAGAGCACAGGAGGTCGACGCCCTTCCCTGCATCTCTTCCATCTGGCAGTTCCTGAGTTATGTCCTGAGTTCTGTGAGCTGCTCAAATTAATCGAATTAATCGAACTCAAGGAGAGTAGGAGCCTCTGATTTACAGCACGTCTGTCAGAGGTAACAACCTGGACTTGGGACTGGCATCTGAAGTGGGAGCAGTGCTGCGGAACTGAGCACTTATCCTGTGGGACCTGAGGTCAACTCCAAGGAGACAGTGTCCGAAGGGAGTGGAACTGTAGAACACCCAGCTCTTTAAGAGAATTGCTTGGCATGAAGAAAGAACCTAGGCGCTGGAACTGGTGTCAGAATCACACCGCCAGTATATATCTGTTGACTGAATGAATGAAAGAATGGACTTTGTGATGCGCGTCCTCAAAGAAAACTTTATACATACATAACAATTTCCTTAAAATAAATTTATTAAAGAAAGCAATTCTAGGTGAAAGGATACTAACAGTGTTAACTCTTTTGATACACAATGCCAAATTATCAAACAAAAGGGTTTTTAGGTTTTTACAATTTATTCTTCCCAGAGAGTTAAAAATTAAAAGTTTTGGTGTTCTTTTGATTTGTATCTATTTGATTGTTAGTGAAACAAGCCATTTTCATGTGTTTACTGGACATTAATATCTGAAAGAAGATAGATAATAAAGGAAAAAGCTTGGACGTATTTACTTCTTTTCTGGCACTCTAATCTGCTACAAATAGATTCCATGGTGAAGTAAAAAATAGCAGAAAGAATAATAAATGTAGTAAAGGACTTATAATAAAGAGATATGTTAATAGTATACCTGAGCCTTTATCAATCTATCTACAACTATCTTTACAGTGATATATATACATATTTCTATCTCTATATCTATGTAACTACATCTTTGGCCCTTTTCTTTCTGTCACTTTTTTATCTTTCTTTTCTTTCAAAATTTCCTTTTCTTATTTTATACTTCGTTTGTCTGGTTTTTTTTGTTTATTTGTTCTCGTGTAATGTAATTGGCAGTAAGTTGGGCCACATGGGGGATGAACTATGAAGACCTCTGACCTCTGTTTAAGGAAATGATGCTGGGGACTTTGAACATGTCACCAAGCTGCTGAATTATCTAACCTTTTGAATTATTTAGAGAAGATGATAAATTCCCTTACTATTTAAAACATTTTGAGTTGGGTATTCCCCTACTTAAGGCTGAACTCATCATAAGTGATAGAGATCAAATAAGCATGAATGAGTATTTTCTAGTTTGGTGTTTTGCTTATTTATTTACTTATTTTAAATATAGAAATCAATTTATTTTTTTATTAAATAATTAATTTTTTTCATGACATTGGTTAACGAAATCCAGTAAGTTTCAGGTGTACAATTTAATAGCAACGCATATATATATTGCATTGTGTGTTCCTCCCATAGCTAGATTTCTTTCTGTCACTACATATTTGACCCGCTTTACCCCATCTACCTCCCTCTGCCCCCTCCCATCTACCCTACGGTAACCACTAGTCTATAGTCCATGTCCATGAGTCTCTGTTAGTTTGTCCTATTCGTCTGTTGCTTGTAGGTTTATATCCCACACATAAATGATATCATGTGGTTTTCAACTTTTTCTGTCTGGTTTATTTCACTTAGCATGATTATCTTGAGGTCCATCCATGTTGTTGCAAATGGCAGTATTTCATCTCTTCTTGTGGCTGAGTAAATTCCATTGTGTGCATGTACCACAGTTTCTTTATCCAATCATCTATCATAGGACACTTCGGTTGCTTTGTTTTTTAAAATAGGGCATGCTTGCCATTTCTTCGTTCATGAAAGGAAACCACAGGAAGTAGTTTGTGTCAGCCCTTTCTGATACAGGATAAACGGAAGTTAAACACAGCCATGTGGGGAGGGGTGGAGGAGGCAATTAAAGAAAAAGTTCAAAGGAACTACTTGTTGAGGGTGTGAGGGGGACAAAGCTTTGTCACCTCCAAATATGCTTTTTGGGATACTGATTATTTTAAAGCTGGTTATTAAGAAACAAACAAACAAACAACTCAGAAAGAACCTTTAACCCTCTGCCTTTACCTGACTAAAGGAATTCAGATAGAAAAAGCTGCTTAAAGGAAGGGGGCATCACCTCAGCATCATAATATAAACTAAATGTGCCAGATAAGGAAGAAATCTAGCAAAGCCTGTTTGTTGAACTTCCCTCTGTGTCCCATGGTTTCTGGGTGGCCCAGCAAAAACTTGTTTACAACATGTTTACTCTTTCTAGTCTACCTGTAAATTGCCTGCTTCCCCTTTGGAGTCTCAGACCCCTGGCTGCTTCTCCTTTGTTCAAAATGGCACATAAACCTCAACAGCCAAACGTCTCTTGGGGCGTCACATTCTTACGGCATCCCCGCATGTACATTCGTAATAAATTTTGCCATTTCCTTCTGTTAATCTGTCTCGTGTTAATTTGACTATTATTAGCCCAGCCAGAAAAACCTAAAAAGGAAGAAATATTATTTTTTGTGCCCCCACAGGTACCTCTCAAAATGTACTGTTACAATCACTTTAGTCCTTAACGTTCTGTCCAAAGCAGATAGTGTCATCTTCAATTGATTTCTCTTAGGAAAAAGTGGGTGAATATGGGTGTCACCTAGAATCCCTCAAGAGCCTGCTAAACTCCAACATGCATGAGGAGCCAGCCTCTCGGACTCTGCAATTCACAGGGCCCACTGAGGGTTCATGGTTCTAGAACAGAACTATCCATTTTCACACCAAACAAACTGAATCTTTAATCACAGGGCAGTTTTCAGGGTGGGTTCTTTTCAAATCAAGGCATCCATCTGTGAAAGTACTTCTTATACTGTAACACCTAAAATAAATTCTAAACTGTCCCCAAAACAACTGTAGCCTAAATTCACTCTGTAGCAATATATGCTTACTGATCTCCACTTTAGAAATTTATATGTCTAAAAAAAAAAAAATCCATTAAATAGTTGGAGAAAAGGTGTTTTCCTCCTGGGGAAACAAAAAGTAATTTTCCTTATGTTTTAATTTTTCATATAGCTTTTTTTAAAAACACTTTTCCAACTATTCAGAATTTAAAAAATTTTCTTACAAACCATAACTCTGCTGAAATGTGGAGTAACACATATGATTTAAACTTTGGAAAATGAACATTTCATGTGAAATCAAACTGATGTTTGGAAGCTATTCTCCCTTAAAAAAAAAAAAAAAACAACTATTGAGTGAGTCAATACTTTTTATTCTGTTCTAAGGAGGACAGAACAATAAGGAAATGGGTTTATTTGTAACGAGAAGATTTAATTAGATGCCGGGAGGAACTTTCTAAATAAAGATGCATTTCTAAGGGAGGCTATGAAGGGAACATTTTCTTAATACGTTTGTGATTTTATTGTATTCCATAGATACCATAGAAAGGTTCTGGGACATCATCTCTAGATCCCGATTCCCTATAATGGACCAGAGAAAGGGAGACCTACCATCTAAGCTGAGTGGCAAATGGCCTCCTCAGACCTAGAGATGAAGGACGAGGTGACGGGCGTGGCAATCTCTCACAGTTTTACAGCCAAGCACTTCCAAGTCCGCACACCAACCAGTCTGCTGAGAAGCCGTCTTTCTCACTCTCTGCAACCAGCATGTCTAAACAGAATGATGGCATAATCAAAGCCGTACAAACACAAGTATAGGAGCCGAAAATCAAAAGTCAATAAGAGGCTTTCATAAAAAAAATAAATAAGTGAGAAAACGAACATGTAGCACTTGCTTGAAACAGCAGAAAGTTCCCATTTTTTCTCAGGAACTCATGAGAAATGCTGTTACCACTCAAAGAAAAAGTGAAGTTCCAGTGCACATTAGAATCGACTGCTAAGGATTAAACATGGCGGAGAAGAGATTGTTTGTGACTTAAATGACAGTGAGAGACGTCCCCAGATCTCTCCCCTTGAAACAACAATAAGCTGAACACCTAAAACTCAACAAAAAACACCCAACTGCACACCAGCACGTCTAAGCGTGGGATTTGCGCATAAGAGCTACCACAGGTCAAAACCCTGGGTGTAGGGCAGTAGACTGGGAAAAGTAAAGAAGCTTCCTCTCTTCCTCTCACGGCTGGTGCTCCCTGCAGGAGGAGGGGGAGGGGTGGAAGTGCAGAAAGTTCCCTGACCAGCCCTGCCTGAGAGTGCTGTGAGCTCCACGCTGCCGGCGGCAGGGCCCAAGCATCAGGGCAGAAAGCACAGAAGCGGGGTCGGCAGAAAAGCAGGGATGGCGGAGAAACAACAGCTGAGTTTTACCAGCCCCAGTTGCAGATCCAAGGCTGAGCCGCAGCCCCATCCCCCTCCCCGCCATACCCTCCAAGACCTAACACCACGGAGCCCCAGGGGAATCTGAGCAAATGCTACCGAAACTGTTACTAACACTGACAAGAACTGAGACTGAGGGTAGCAAGCAAGATTAAACATCTATAAGGAAAAAAAAGACATTATTAATACTTTATATAAAGCAGAGATCCAAGAGGCTTAGACACCACCTACTGGAAACCAAAAGAAAAAACACTTTATTTGCTTATTTGCAACAGGCTAGGGACCATTATATAATAAATCTTTCTGGGGGAAAAAGAAAGCAGAACACACTTCCATTAATGCCCAGGCAGAGAAATAAATAGTCCATTAAACACCACGAACAACCAAGGTGACAAGGCATCTCAGAAAGAAAGAGAAAAATCTCCAGAAAATAAGCTTACAGACATAGAAATATGTGACTTAAATGACAGAGAATTCAGGATGGTACTTCTGAAAAAAACTCAGTGAGATCCGAAACGAGTAATATCGACAATTTCAGGAATTGAAAACGACTAGATGAACAGAATGAGTTTTTTAGCAAGGAGATTGAAACCCTCAAAAAGAACCAAATAGACCTTCTGGAGACATAGGATCAACTGCTAAATGGCTAACTTAGGCCACCTGCATACAGGATTTTAACAGGGACCCTCGTGGGTCACTGCTTCTCCTTGACAAGTTCATAACCATCTACTCTCACTGTGAGCAGATTAAATCTAAATTAGATGTTATCTGTTCTCTCTTTGGAGAAGAGAGACAGGACATTTCGATTGACATATCTCTCACCTTAATGAGCCAGCCGCACTTGTCACCCAGGAAAATTCAACTTCAAAGAAGAGGATAAACTTCCCAGGCAGAGCCAAGATGGGGCTTGAGGGTGGAACCCAGGCAGACCCCACAGACCTCGTAGTACTGGAGAAGGGTTGAGGGCTGGGACGTGAGGACCGCGAGCTTCCAGGGAAGGACTTCATCCTCGGAGGGAGAATAAGAAATCAGGGTTTGTCCTGGGCACTGGACGGGGGCAGGCAGTGAGAAAGACTTTCCCTCGGTTCTGCCTTAAAGCTTTGCTTCCATAAAGTAACAGGGTCCTAGGAAGAGAAGGGAGGGGCTGGGAAGGGTAAATGTGATGTTTCCACAGAAAATCTCGGACGGTGGAAGCACAAGGCAGCATGACTTGGGAAAGGGGGTCAGCATGGAGCACAGTATTTGGAGAAGAGATTGTTTGTCATTTAACAGAGCAGCTTTAGTGCACGCGAATAGCTCAGCTTCACGGAGGAAGGGACATTAAATAAGGCAATGCCAGCCTCAGTGCCAGCCTCAGCTTCAGCGGCTGAAAGTGCCTCTGACAGCAGCAGAGGTGACCTCGGAGGGGGCCACTATTCTCCGTAGCAGCAGAGGCCACGCCAGGGGTGGGAGGCGGAGCGACCAGCTGTGCGTGCAGCTGGAAGTAGTACCCTTGGCAAGGACGCCATTTCCCAGACATAACAGTCTACTGCTGGGGTTCGTTATCTCTCCCTAGACAATTCAGCTACTTAGAAGAGCGATCTTTAGCAAAACTAAGGTCTAGACGTTCTTTTGATCTTAAACACAAAATCTTGTTTCTGGTTAAGGAAAGCTGTGAGAAGAGCAGACCTTTGCCATTTAACGATTAAACATCTTTGGTCTAAATTTTTCACAAGAATCTTAAAATTCATTTTAGCATAGTCATTTATAAACTTTCGAGGTGCAGATCTGAATCATGGGGGCTGTGCAGTAGCAAGCAAGGCTAGCTGTCCACGCAGCCTCTACATTTCAATGTGACCGCCGTCACCCCGACTCCTTTAAGGAAGGGGCTACACTAGAAAGGCCCTTTCTTCTTAGAATGACAGTCTTTTCATGATAGAGATGGTGACAGTTAATAAAATATTAAATTACCCATGTGGTTGTCTACCTTATTGATAACTACCCCAAGCTACAGAAATAAATGTTAATGCAATGATAAATCCATTCACTTAATATCCTACTCACGTCAGACAACTAATCTTGAAATCACATCTGTCAAAGGTTAGGCTAAGTTTCTTTCTCCTTCAAACAAGTCCACTGCCCAAACAACACAATTCTCTATGTAACCAGTAATCTACTCTGCTCATTCCAAAAAGGAAAAGTCTCTCTAGATTAAATGCACAACCATCCAACTGTTTTGTCCTAAAGCCGATTTATCTTGTATTTTAGTGTGGAAACATGCAAGCAAGAGGTTCCGAACAGGTGCTGGGCTAGGTACTTGCCCATTTACGTCAGCGGGAATCGGATTTAATGATTGGATATAAGGAGTCACTATTTTCTATCTATGAAAGACATTTGACTTTCATTTTCAGTAATTTTTTCATTGAAGGATGTTTAATCCATTTTTTTTTTATAGTTGACCAGCAACTCTATTCAAATAGTCTCTCTGGATTCTAAGCAAAGGAAATATATGTTCATCCTCTCAAACCTTTTATTATGTGAGCAAATAAAGATAAGTGTATCATTCGAAGCTTTTAATCAGAAGCCCAGAGACTTTAAAAGCTGCCACATTGCAAAGTGTTTCACCTTGCTCGGTGCCCTCAAGAAGCACATCCTCTTGTCGTTTCAACACAGGACAAGGATAAAAGACTAAACTAAAGCAAACGCCTCCCCGCCCGCCGAAGTTCATCTTGATCCATAAGCCTTTCTGCCTGCTGGTCTCCTTAATGCTCACATTCCCCCACCTGTCAACTTTCTCTCCTTGGTCTCAATACCAAGTCTGTGAAAGTTATTCTAAGCCCAATGTGAAATCAAGTAAAGTGATGCATCCAAATAGGAGAAGTGATCCTAATAAAATAAGAAAGGCAGCTCCATGCAGGCGATAGAGAGCAAAGGCCTCTCTCCAATGCCTCCCTGCGCGCTGCGATTCACTGACGCCCCGTCAGTGTTAACGCCGGCTCATCGGGAGATTTATTGCACCTGCTCCACGTGGCCCCTGAGCATCTACTTTTCTTTCTTCCTCCCTGACACTCAGAGGATATGTGAGCTCCCTATTCACCTCTGTTTCTGCTAAAGAAAAAAGGTAGATAATAAAACATTTCTTTCACAAGCTATACTCAGCAAAGCTCTGGGAATTGTTACCTTGCCATTACTCCATTTTTGTAATATTTCCTAGAGTGAAAAAAAAAGCTACCACCTTAACGACAATTCATTTGCTGGTTTACAGGGACATCCTGACGAATCGGTACGCACTGTGCCTACATTCCAGTATAACTAGGAAGTCAGAAGGACAAGAAAGCCAGAGTTACCTGTCGGGAGTGGTGCAGGTACGCAGGCTGAAAGAAGTGTCTTAAAATGCGAGACGGAGACTCCAGAGATAAACACATTCTTCACACCTCGCACACCTGAAACGCTACACCAAGTGTGTCTGCCTTGGAGTGCTACACTTCCCCAAGCTTTTCAATGTTTATCTCACCATATTCCCTTCCCTTTCTGCCCACCTTTTCTTGGTTCTGCTTGGAGATTTTTCCTTAGTATGAACGGGCTGGCATCGAAAAGATTACAAGTAAGTTTCCAAGTGAATCTGAAATCTTATCTTGGCTCTGAAAAGGGGAGACCATGACGGCTGACGTGGAAGACCTCCCTTTCCCACATACGGGCCAAGAATTCTAAGCATGAAAACACGGGTTCGAAAACAATGCCAAATTGGGAACTAGAAAATGTGAAAGGCATTACTGAGGCCCAAGTAAGAACAACACGCCGCTGACACTGGAAAAAAGAAAAGAATGAGGGTATCTGCACACGCAAAGCACACACGTGCACACGGTCACGCTACCGCCCACTCCGCAAGCCCTGTCGTCTGCTCAGCAAACTTCCTTCCGTCACCTGAATGAGACTTTATGGGCTGAAGTTATAAATAAGATAGTTCAGGAGTTTTATAAAAAGTTCAAGTGAAGATGTTCATCTTTATCAAAATTTGTGTAATGAACTTTCACTGGATATATGAAACAACTAAGTTTTTCTCATTGGAGCCTTTTAAGAGAGGACTCTGTGCTGAACATGAAATATCTCTTTTTAAATATATATAGGAAAAAATATTTAAGAATATATTAGGAAGAAGCAAGAAAATGACCCGATGAGTGCAGAGCATTTTGTAGTACCAGAAAGTAAGAAAGTGCTCAAAAAATATAAAGATGAGTCAGTATTCCCAAAAGATACAGAAGACAAACCGAAGGGGCTCCCAAGAGCCAAAGCAGGATCAAAAATTTAAAAATGAAATAAAAACATCGACTTGGATTATATCTATGGTATAAAATAAATATCCAAGAGATCTGATATAAATAAATGATTGGACAGTAAATATTGGGGAAGAAGAGATACATTTTCCTTACAGAAGAATTTCGAATAGTAAGCAGCTCCTCGCTAGCCTACGAGTTGTCAAGTATGGTGATCTGAGACTTAACGTCTCATTTACAAAAATCAGTGTGTGAAAAGGGAAAAATAATGACTTTACAGTAAAGAAAGCTGGCAAACACCACTTTAACCAAGTAATCAAAATTAACATAACCGGTAATGTCATATGGATAACACGTGCCCCTTAATATGACGAGAGGGTCACATCACCTCTGTGGTACTCTTTTCAAAAACATATAATCAGTCTAATCACGAAAAGAAAAATTCAGACAAACCCAAAGAGAGGAACGTTCTACAAAATACCTGAGTAATACTCCTTAATCTGTCAAGGTCATAGGTTCTGGTCTAAGATGGAGACCTATGGGGTTCCTGAACTCACCTGCTCCCTCAGACACACCAAATCTACAGGTACACGTGGAAACCAGCCGAGCAATGCTTACGCATTGGGAAAATGCAGGAAAGGTTGAGACATACTCTTGCCATAGACCCACCCCCACACAGCAACACAATCAGGAGAAGACTCACAACTCCCAGCTTTGACCTGAGGAGTGAAAGATTTGGACTCAACATCTAGCGTCCGGGCTTCTCAAACTTCCATCTGAGGGCTAGGCCCCCAAATAACCTAGCTCTGAAAGCCAATGAGGCATAGGAAAAAAAATAGAAAAAGAAATTTTTTAATGGGCTCTGAGGACTCACCAGGGCTATCCCCCAGGGCTCAGAGCACAGCCAGCAGAGAGCAAGCATGCCTCGCCATCTTTCTCTAAAAGAGACAAATTTTCATATCCTAAAAGCTGCAGCCTGAGGGTCAGGTTTGTAATTTAACGCATACCTAGGGGCCTACTGTAATACTCTCTGAAGACCTGGGAGGCTGATGGGCGCCATCCTCACATTCTTCCTCTGCCCTGCACCATGTCGCTAATATCTCCCTGAAAGAAGCTTTTGCACACACCTGGTGTCCTACCTTTTGTGGCTGCTGCCCAGGGGGGTGTAACACTTGAACACCTGGCTCTGGTAGCTAGCAGGGCATACGTTTGCAGGTTCCACAGGACAGTATAAAACTAAGAAATAGTTCTTAACCTGCTATCCTCCCAGGGCTCATCACAGAGGCAGTGAAGGGAAATGTCATCTCCAGTCTTTCCCAGAAAGAGGGCTATTTGCATACTTTAAAGCTGCTGCCCAAAGGTCTGGTTTCCAATTAGCCTAGATCTAGTGTTCGCTGAGATCCTCCTGTTTGGGATATTGACAGTTACTGGCAAACTTTCAACTACCGGGGGAGCCACTAAGAACAAAGAAGGTGGCTTGGACAATCACAAGGGTTGGAGAGACAGCCAAGACCTAGGGAGACTGGAAGAGGTGGCTGTTTAATACGCAGAAACCAACACTGTCAGGAAAATGAAGCGACACATAAGCTCGTTCCAAACAAAAGAACAAGATACAATTCTAGATACAGATGTTAATGCAATGGAGATAAGTGATTTATCTGATAAAGGGTTCAAAGTATTTCTCCCAAAGATGCTTGCTAGGGTAAGGAAGACAATGCACGAACAAAACGAGAATTTCAGCACAGAAATTGAAAA